TCTCTCTCTCTCTCTCTCTCTCTCTCTCTCTCTCTCTCTCTCTCTCTCTCTCTCTCTCTCTCTCTCTCTCACCCTTCTCCTCCCATTCTTCATCAAACCATGCCTTTCTTCTTCATCCATCAATGGAATGAGGATTTCAAATTGTCCTGTCCGCCTTGGCCCTTCTGCCCATGTGTAAGGACCTGCCAAACACGGACTGAGAGTTTGCCAATGCTGAGTTTCCCGCTTGTTGCTGAGTTTTCTGAGTGTGTGCATGCTTGCTGGTCTGAGTGCCTGTCCGAGTGCTTGCCGGTTCGAGTGTGTGTGTGACCCGCAAGGGTACTTGTTGGTGCGGGAGGCCCGAAGTGAAAGGGTTTCACCCAGTTCGCACAATATTGCAGACACCAAGACCCCCAGCCCACTGTATAGTCGCCCGTTGACCCTGTGTGTTTTGAACCTGCGACCTGTCCCTAAACTCGTACACAAATGTTTTGAGTATGTAGTCTGGGTCGTGTGGACTTGAGGCGTAGACCTATGGGTTAGTAATCTTAGGGTCAGTCTATAGGTCTAGCTCTACGTGTGGCGAAAGGTCAGTCAGTCGTCGTCTGGGAGGTTCTAGAAATGTCAAACTGACCCTTCGGAGCTTTAGGAGTCAGTCCCTCAGACTTCAAAAGGTCAAGTATCCCTAGTCTAGTCAGCAAGTACTAGGGGACCTGTTGCGGCTTCGCCCGCAATAATGAAGGAATTGGAGGGTTTGGTCATGGTTGCATTTGAACTAACCTGTTGTGTGTTTCACTTCCCACAACTGTCTGCATCTTACCACAATTTCCCCTAGTTCGCAAGAAGTATTCTTTCTCAGATGTCAGGAGATAGGCAATCCTGCCGTACAGCATTGCGCTGGCGGGGGGTTGCACTGGCGGACGGGGCACGGCCGTTGAAACTGCGTGTGTGTGCTTATGCTGCGTGTGCGCGGCTGTTGAAACCGATCTTGCAAACGCCATGTTTGCAATTACCATTCTGTTTCGTTTTCTCTCTCTCTCGATGGACCATGGATCAAATTTGAAATTGATTGGAGCAGATACTACACTTGCTCGTGTTGGGGGGGAGGGTTGAGGCGTAGTTAGTTAGATTGGGGTGTATCTCTCTCGGGCGTGCACGTTCGCAGCATGCATTTTTTTATTTTATATGAGGGTCTCGATGGACCACAGATC